GTAAACATTATTATTAATCTATCTATATGTCAAGAAAATATTCTTCATAAAGAAATATATTCTTGTGCCCAATAAGAACAAGTTCATAGGTATATTCTTTTATCTATTTCGTTTATGAAATCAATGAAATTATTCTATTGTAAAACTCGAAAGCGCAATTATCAGAAATTATGAGGCTTAGCTCATCTATACGAGAAAAATTTTTGTTTGTCAGAAAATACTAAAAATCTATAAGAACTCTGTTAGATTATCTTTGTAAAAATTTGCATGTTTTCTTCTCTTCAAGAAAAAAAAAAGAAATAAATAATTAATATCTCTAATAACTGCATATAAGACATACAATCTTGTCTATTCTTTAATTGATGAACACTTAAGAATCATTATCTTAATAAAAGTTATATAAGAAAAAAAGAATCCGTTTTTTCAAAAGCATAAAACCATAAAAAGTTATCTCATTTTTAATTTATTTATATAAAAAAAAAGATAGTCATGTAAATTGAAATATATAAATAGAAATGAGGATCATTCTTAATATAATTGCTTAAAGAAAGTAGACTTTTTTTTTGAACCGATAATAAAAATAAAAGTATATCTATTGATATAAATAAGTCTATTGAAATCACTTAGTTTAAACTTAATTATATGGAAAAAAAATCTCATTCTCTATTAAATAGATGTATCATTAAATTTTAATATGTACAGGTTAGATTATGTGAAAGAAAAAGAATTTTCAAAATTCACTCACATATTGACATTTGTACTGTAATACATGGTATGGCGAACGAATATATTCACAAAACTTAGAGGAGTTTTGACTGAACTAAATATTAAAAAATCGATTCTAATTATTGACAGTAATGAAAACTGAACCGTAATAATCTATGAAGAAGAAACCAACTGAAAGATTTTTCTTTTAAAATATAACATTATTGTTAATTTTGAAAGTTTAATTGATTTATTTAAGGAATTTTAGATATTCAACTCATCAATAAATATACATATAGAAAGAGTTTTTCAAAGAATCAATTCTATCCTAAGAATTATTTTTTCTTGAAACATGTTAAGAAACTTATCTTTTGTCAAAGTTCACCATCCGTCAATATAGATCCTTCTCTTATTGAATCCTGATTAAATTATGAATTTAGAAAAAAAAACAAATATTATATTCTAAATCACTAAAAAAAAAAGTACATATTACTTAACACATTTCAGCAAAAGTAAAGTTTTATCAAAAGAATATATAGGATCTCCTTGAGCAGGTTCATTTTATAAAATGTTACCTGTAGTTAACCTCACAAATTGCCTGAAGCTTGATTTCCATTAAGAAACTATTTCGATCGAAATCTATTCTATTCTTGAGTTCATATTTAGGAAAATAATCAATATTGACTATGACAAACCTTAATAAAATAATTTATCTTTTTCTAATGTTTCAACAGATATGGGTGTTATGACAAAGTTTTGGTATTTAAATATAATTACTATTCTAGAATATCCTCTATAAATGTAGAAATCTGTGTTGATGATGTTTCAATCGTTTTCGTGGTATCTCTTTGACTTTTCCAATCTAATCGACAAACATAATCAGCATTCGATTTTTTTTAGAGCTTGAAAAACTATACTAATCTACACAATTTGTATTCCTATTAAATCCATAAAAGAAACTATTCTTTTCATAGTATTTATTCAAAACATCGAAAAGTATTTCATCTATATAATTATTTGTTCTTCAAATTTTTATTTTGTATTCAACAAAAACTATCACATAAAACACATAGAAATATGCCGGATTCGATGTTCTATCATTCTATTCGATTAAAGTCGTCATTTATGAGGATGCTATATTTATAATTTTGTCGTTTGTTTTTTGCTTTCTATTCATTTCTAACGGATAATTTTGACTTGAACTATAATTATATCTAAAGTAAAATTTATCAATTCTTGTTCATATATAAAAATAAGTTAGTCTTAATTCGAAGTGTTATTGTAACCAAAATAAATTGTATCTATCATTTCATTTCGATTATTTAAAAAATCATAATCGAAATTTTCATTAGAATTCTAAATGAAGAAATATTCTTTTCTGTATTGTTACTTATTCTAACATTGTATGGCTCACTTTTAATTCTAATTATAAGGCAGGAAATTTTTTTTTCATTCGACTGACTTCCACTACAAAAATGAATTATTCATATTATTTCTATGACAGAAATAACATTTATACATGTCGTCATTCAACCAATGCTAACAAAATCATGCATCTTCAAAGAAAATCATGAATACAAGAAACTTTTTCTTTGTTTTTTCAAGCGTACTTCAACATGTTCGCCATGGGTGAGAGATACTTTGAATTCAAAAACAAAATTTATGGTTACAATTTGTATAATTTAAGATAATAGTTTTCACTTAAATTATCGTTGCAATTAAAAAGAAAACGTAGGCTTAAGTTTCTTTCTTACTTTATCATGATAATCCGAGCTTCAAGGATACTTATCATTCCAATCATATTTATCTTTAACTTTTGTTTATACTTATACATTAATTCAATTTGCATTATTATTATTATTATTACAGCTGTGTGTGGGTGTGGGTCTATATGAATATAGAATCCACACCCACACCCACACCCACACCCACACCCACACCCACACCCACACCCACACCCACACCCACACCCACACCCACACCCACACCCACACCCACACCCACACCCACACCCAGTACCGTGTGAATTTCTTTGTGATAAATCTCATACGTCGTTTAATCGTCGTTCGAGTGGCGCTCAAGTTCGTTCACTTATTGTAAACCATTTAAGTCAACATTTAGCTAATGATGCCAAAATCCGTATGCGTCTATGTGATGAATTACGTGAGATACATCGATTATACATGAGAACATTCATGAATAATCCACATACATACGGTGCTGAATATATCTTTTCATAAACAGAGATGACTTATGATTAAGAAAAAATTCCATATAAAATTATACAATCATGTTTCTTTTATTTTTGGCCTAATATTTTTTTGGTCTTTTGTACAAATGATCAATTAACTTATTAGTATAAAAAAATAAAGATCAAGAAATTATATTGTGAATTGTAATGAGTTTGTTTTATAATTCTGAAATGCGCTTGGTCGTTGGTATAATCTTTTCTTTTTTCTTTTCTTTTTTGGAAAAATATTACATGAAATAAATAATCAAGAAATAATATTCATAAGGGTGTGGGTGTACAGAAGAACTATCCCCACACTCACACACCCACACCCTTTTAATATGACTTATAGTTTTATCATTGATAAAAACTTCAAAAAGAAGGTCATTTATTTTTTTTAATGTTAATGGGTAAACGAATGTGTCCTAGTGTCCATTGTTTGCGTGTCTTGCTGTTAGTTAGTTTTCGGTACTCGGTTTTTGAAGAATTAACAATGCTTCAGGAATAATTACGTCTTTTACTGGATATCCAGTGAATCGCTTGAACAATATATTGAATCCAATTTTACTGAAAAACTTCTCCCACTCTTCCAGCGTTTGAAAAGTTCCAGGTATTGGCATGGCTCTTCTTTCAATGAAGATATTTGTAACCCAATCATAAATGGTTAATATATTCTTTCGTTCTTCTTCAGAGAAACCCATAAATTCGTCATGGTCATCCGATCCGATTTCTGGTGCTAGAATCGTGGAGTAGCTATCTTCAAAAACAGCAAGTATTGTACGGGGACGCATGATATCAAATAGATTCTTGATATACGTATACTGAGTAGACAATTCCATGTGATGTAACACAAAGGTGATAACCAACGCATCGGGTTTTTGTGCCGTTACGAAAGGAGCAAAGGCATGATCTCTGACAACATGAAATTCAATCTTTTGACCGTAGGGTGCGAGTGTGGGTGCGGGTGTGTGGGTGTGGATGTGGGTGTCGATGAAGAGAACACCTACAGTCACAACCATCACCACAAACCCACACCCACACCACCCTACAAATATTAAAGGTTTATGTTCAAATCTCAGCTATACTGTTAAAATACGTTCTTTGAATATGAGAGATCGTCTTCTGTTTACATCAATATCCTAATATAATTCATCATTATCATATAGGTCATTCTCTGCATTTGGTATTTGGCGTGTTTTTAGTTATTTGTCTCCCTGAGAATGGTTTTGGGGTGTGGGTTTTGGTGTGTGAATGTGAGTGCTGATAAAGAGAAGAATGAAACTCACACCCACCCACACCCAAAGTTGGGGCTTTTTATTACTGCTGTTTAGTGAGTAGCAATTTATTTACAGCTCAATCTTGTTGAGTGCAGCCATTCAAAAATTCACACAAAAATAAATGACGTACGATATATATATATGTAAAAGACAAATTAGATTTCTCGCTTGTTTTGATATAAATGAACAGTTTTCCTCGTTGGTTCAAGATGCAGCACCTATAGGAGTTTAATGATCAAAAAGAACATACTTTTAAATGTTAATTTTACTAGATAGCTTGTCAAACCTTTTCGCATAACACACAGTTATCACGAGACGTTAAGTAGTACACAAGAGTTCTCAGTTGTTTGTGTATGTTGTTCCTGGATATATGATAAGGATCAAATTTACGTGTTTGATAATGATATATAGCAATTATATTATATCATTGGAAACGAATTTATTCGCAACCTAAACCTAATACACTTTGATTTCATTTTTCGAATGACAACCAAAATATCGTGAACAAATATTGTCTAATTTCTTGTAAATATGGCAAACAACTGTTATGTCCTCATAATCCTTCATAACCATTGAAGACATTATTGTTGAATTAGGGTATGAATGTGGGTGTGGATGTGCTGGAATGAGTGTGAGTATCCTTCTTTTCTTTTCACAACTACACCCACACTCTCTAATAGTTTTGAAGATTTCTACCTAATGATTTTTTTTTCACAAAACACAAATAAAAAAATAATTTCTCACTGAGTATGGTATACTCGGCATATATTCACTCCTAAAAGATATGTTCATCGTCGAATAAAATATAGTTCAATAAGTCTAAATAATGGAAAAGTAACTGCTGTAAATATGAGTCCAACTTCAAAGCCAATATCTGTACCTTCAATATCCGTATTTTCTGCAATAACTTTTGCTATTGGTCCACTAAACCATATTTGTGACATTCCAAGTATAATACCAGCTACACCAACTATTGCCGATAGAATAGCAGCCAAACTAATTGGTAACAGTTTAGAAGAATTCCATATACTAAAATTGTAATTTGGAAATGAACAACATCGAAATAATAGATGATCTTCAAATACAATAACCATAAATATTGCAGACCAATATGAAGATATACCCATAACTGATGTTAATGCATCATTAAATTTACTTGCAGCTACAATAGTTAATAGGACATAGGCTACAGTACCAATAACAGTATAAAGAAAACGTGGTATACGACTCAATATTGGTGCAATAACTTGTGCAGATAATGATAATGAATAAAGATTTGGTATATTACATACAACAGTTGAAATTGCAAATAGAATAAGTATAAATTTTCCAAAACCACGAAGAGGTGATAAAATGGCACCCAATAATCCACCAACATTATTTATTTCATATGCTTGTTTCCAATTTTGATTTGTATGTGTCCCAGTATAAGCAGCTACACCAAGTAATTGCATTACAGTCATTGATACAAAATTGCTAATATAAGTAAGAAGAAAAATTTTTTGTTGACTTGTACTTTCAGGAAAATAGGTGTTGTAATCAGCTGCCAATGGACACCAGCTACATGCAGTGCCAAAAATTACTGAACCAAAAGTTAGAATACGAGATAATTCAAGACGAAAAGTTCTACTATTGTTGGATATTGTTGCATTGTGAAATACCTGTATGACAAGAAACAATCCTGAATTTTTTCAAATACATTAGAGATTAGAATTTTCCACTCTTAGTAGATATTACCATTTTACTATTTGTAAAATATTTGGCACCAACTCCTGCTAATATACAATATCCTATAAATACTGGTATCCATGAATATCGTTCATAGATATGAATCCATTTATAACCTATAAATGAGACGATCATCGTTATTATAGCAATTATAATTATTCCAACAGTTATAGGAAATGAATCATTGAATACAACACGTAATGTTTGTGCACCAGTGATACCATTAACAGCTGCCTAACCAATAGCTGAAATAACATTGACTGTCGACATTATCGAAGCACCATAATAACCCCAACTATAACGAGAAAAGATCATTGTACGTAGACCAGATGCTGGACCAAAATAAGCCATGCCTGCTATTGGCAATGTTCCCAATAGATTAAAAATGATAATAGTTACAAAAGAATTATTGAGATCTAACTCGAATACTGCTGGACCGAGTGTACCCGCAGCAAAACATGGTATAATTATATTTGCGCTGACCTAATAAACAAATATTCAATAGTCTCGATAAGTATCTTTTATAGGAGAATAGATTGAGAATGATTAAACTGTCGTTACTCTTCAGTTTCTTACCCATATCATTGCTGTGTTGATAATTGTTACATCAGTTCGATCTTCCGAAGATATTCGTTCAATACCACGTTCTTCTACATTAAGACAGGCAAATATTTTTGTAGCCTTGTGCCACCAATTTTTAATAGAATTACATTTTTCATGTGAGGAAATTTTATTCGAGTCAATGCATTGCTGTTCGCCGATATTCGTAGGAATATCATTAAGTTCAATATCTTGGTTAATAGAAGTTAAATACCGCATGGAGGACTCTGTCATCATTCGATGATTTTGCGACATTGACAAATTTTATCTGAATTAGAATCAAATCGTAATTGAGACAACATTGACCAGAACTTATTAATAACTTTACTGCTACAAATTGTAAAAGTTATAAGAAAAATCGAAAGTAGAACATAATGCAGAGAATATTGTTTTAAGAATAATAGAAAACAACACATTGCCATTATATTTGATTTTATCAATTATCACACCTCTAATGCTGATAGTTACGAATCATTGATTATGAAAAAAAGCTAGTTGAATGATGCACACAGAGCTTACTGGCAATATATGAAGAGGATTTTGCAACTATTCCAATGCTCAGAATAATGAAGATTTTAGTTGGAACATATATATCGTATAGTTCAGCCGTTTTATTAATGCAAAATTTTGCGTAAAATATTCATTGATCTCACCAATCGAATAGTTGTCTGACTCCCTTGTTAACAATGTCGACTAAATTATTGAAAGCAATGTAGAAGAAAACTAACGTTCTAATGAGTAGAATTTTTATTCATCACGAGCATAAATATATCACTTCGAAGCATTTTTCAAGGGTGATATGATAACAATTTGTTTTTATTCATTTATAATTGCTACATGTATACTATTTTTCTACAAATTAAAGAGGTGATTTTGTTTTCAATTATACCTATACCTGACGATCATTATCTTGATGTGGATGTAATGAGAAAGGAAAACAGAAAACGGAAAGAACTTTAGAGAGAGAACATCTGCCAGGTTAGAGTGTCTTTATTTTAAAATTTATTTTTAATGTATCTTGTATTGGTTCATATGTTAAAAAACCTGAAGACAAGAGAAGGAAATGAAAGGCAGAAATGAATAAGAACAAAAGAGAAAGAAAGAAAAATGGACAGAAAACAGGATGTATATGACTACTATTCAACAACCAATATGAAAGAATTAATAAGATAACGTTCAACATTGATTGATCATATCACAAGATAAAAGGATGATTGATATATCAATTCTATAGCAATAGAAAATGAGGGCTGTCAAAGATCCGAAAAATGTCCACTTTACCAAAAGTCCGCTGGTTACCTAAAAGAACTTTACCTCTCGGACAAGTTAATCCAAAATTTTCTGACACACTTGAATATTGTTGCCTTCTATCCTTCTACATGACTTTTCTACATTACAACAGATTATTACTATATATTGTAATGGGACCTTTCTATTTTCCATCGGATCTTTAATATTAACTAGTGTACTTTTTGTGGACTTTTCTATCCTTCTGCATGACTTTTCTTTAACTTAAAGGACTTTTCTATATTACAATAGACTATTACTGCATTCTATGATGAAATGTCTCTTAGTTTCAGGCATTTTGGATCTTAGTAGTAGGGTCTTCTTTGTCTTCAAGACACTTTAATAATACTCTTTTGTGTTGCAGTAGAATAATTTTCCATGATTCTGGTGACATTTAACGTTTTGTTTTTAAATAGAGTATATTAACTATTTTTCGTTAGGGCACATACTATAAATCATATTTCTAAGTGTGCAATGTTGTTTCGGATTGTAATAAATGTGACAGGAAAAATATAGTAAAACTGGTTACTAGTCGGTGAAAAGTGTACTTAAAAACTACATAGCTTAATTCGCTTATATTCGAATAAATTCCAATATCATCCTTTGATTCATTATACATGTTCACATACAATTCGTGTCTTGATTTCTATTGAAATCTTAGTTATATATTTATGGAAACAATATTATGCTTCACAGAAAAAACTCCGCTGAAGAAAGAATCTCTGGATGCATGATACATGTGCATATAGAATGCATGTTTTTATTTTTATATCAGAAAAGGATGTGTGGGCAAGAGAAAAGTCCTTTAAAGAAGAAAGGTCCTTTAGGTCACGGCAAGATCCGCTGACGTTCTATTTTCTTTCTTTCCTGTCGCTGTTCTATATATTAGAAAAATTCGTCGTGTATGTATAAGGTCCGCTATGCTGTTAGACGACTTAAGATAAAGTGGACATTTTTTAGACCTTTGACATTGCTGAAATTTATACCCAAGTCATTCAACGTTTACAAACTCACTAATATAACCGACCGGCTTCAAGTCGCCATTATTGCAAAGCAACTTGTTGCAGAGAAAGCGAATGGTGCTCTTGTTCGTACAGTGAATACCAGAAGTATAGTATCGTCAACATTCGAACGATACTCATGGCCACTCATAGGTGAAATTAAGTTATATTCAGGTATGAATCATTTCTACCCCGTCAATGGGTATTTTGTCATGAACAAGCTCTCTCTCGCATCGAATATCAGCATTTATTTTTTGTCATTGCTGAAACATTTGGAGCCGGAGATGGTCAAACTACTTTCAATGTCCCAGATTTTCGAGGTCGATTCCCACTAGGTCTCAATGCAACAGGAAATCAACCAATTAGAATGAATAAAGGAGGAAAAGCAACACAAACATTGACAGTTGATCAAATACCTGCTCATCAACATAGTAAGGGCACATTAAACACTGCGAGCGCAGGTATTCATAGCCATGCTATCAGCGATCGAGGGCATAATCATGGCGGTCAGATTGATGAAAGGAGAGGCGGTGCTGGTGGATGGAATTTGAAAGGCAATGGTGCTGGTCCATTTGATGACTGGGCAGTACATACATATACTATTCCGATGGGTACCACTGAAATATGGCTCTCGGCTGATGGTTCTCATTCACATTTAATTGATGATTCGATATCCTCAACTGGAACAGGAGAACCCCTTAGCATTATACCACCTTATCAATCAATTCATTATATTATTTTCACTGGAGACTAGTGAATGAAGTTATCATAACAATTGAAAAACAATCAATGACACTTTCTTGCTATTACATATCATAATATAATTTTTTTCTTTGTGAATCCATTGTAGAATATCGATTGTAAAGTGAAATTCAAAATTTTCTGCTGACCTCTAGCACACAATCTTTCATAATGAGAAATTCTCTCTAACAAGCTGTATTTTTTGTAAATGAATTTTACTTGAATAAAGCTTTCTATTTTAATGTGCTTTCTTAATCATTTAGTTATTCACAAAGAATTCCCTGAAAAAAATGTACATAGTTCTTTACATTTGCTGAATATTTTGATTTTCATGATCTAAACAAATCGCATGAAAAATTCCTTTCTTCTAACTTTTTTTCAAAGACAATCATAATTGTTAAAAACTCAATTGTGATCAAAACTAACGATTTTTCGCCGATCCCATAAAGGAATTGCTTTATTTTCGTGCGACATTTTTACATTCATTGTCACAAGGAACCTTTCAGATATCAAACTCGAGGGGAAATGCAGAATAAGACTTTAGGGTGTAAGTGTGAGAAGAGAAACACACCCACACACCCAGCGAAACCATGACAGCAGACTTCTTATTTGAGTAGCTTGGCTTCTGATCGATTCGTTGAAAATGACAATATGTTGCGTTCGAGTCATATAGCCGAGGACTACTGGAGACCAATAATTGAGGAAATCAAGCATCAAGAATCACAGTTAACTAATGAAGACAAAAATTTATGGAATCATCATCTAAAAATGATGGACTTCATCATTCAACTTAACATCCAAGCATTGAATAAGACTTTCTGGCATATAAAACTGCATTAATCTGACACTGGATCATGTTTGGTCAACAGTTTTTCATGAAATGAATCATTCCGTTTTAAAGTAGTTTTGTGACTGTATGAATACAGATGTGACTACTGGCGTGAGTAAGTGATGGGTGTGAAGTGTGTGTTGTGGGTGTTGTTTCAGTCTTCTTTAACATTCACACCCATTCTCCATCTTCATTTGCCTATGAGGTCATAAAACTCTTCTGATTTGAAGAACAAGCATTTAGTATTTGACGCTTATCTTCTACTGTGTACTTCGATTGTCGCGCTATTTTAGCCTCACAGTCAATATGTCCTTTACGGCTTCCTACTCCATTACATCTGTAACGTTCTTTACAGTCATTCTGTCCATTGTACCTCACTAGCGTTAAAGTTAAAGAAAACGTATTTCATGAAAACTAATAGAAGACATAAAATCGTGTACGCAGTCTATTTAATAATTGAATTCTAGTTTCCAGTTTAACACGACTGTTGTTCTTGAATTTTATTTGTTATAAATACTCTTTAAAATTTCTTTTCTCGTTCACACATATGAAAGCTACAACACATAATAGAGAGTCGGGTTTTTGCCTTTAATTCGTGACCACTGCGTTTGCTTTATTCAATATTCTTGCTGCTGAACCAGTTCCTGTTGGCGGTCCAATTCTTCCACTATGTCTGTTGCATTTAATCATTGCAAAAAACTCTTGTCGAAATTCACCAAATGTAATTAAATACAATGGGAATGATAGCATATGGTAAGTATAAACACTTGCATCTAATGCATCTAAAATCGTTTCAGATATAACAGAGTAGAAAAAACCCCAGCATATACTTGTAGGTGTTCTCATAATTAAGAACAAAGATGTTGTAATAACCAACGAAATTGAAATGGCTTTATGTTGCACGCGAGAATTTTGAATTGTTGTGGTGCGTTTAAGTTTAATTAAGCAATGGATGATACTGCCATTTAACACAACCATCAATATAAATGGTACACACACGGCAACACACAAATTGATATTATCCCATAGTGGATAGACTCGAAACGCTAAAGACTCTATTGAAATCGTTCCATCATCTTTGTAAAAGCAGCCAACAAGTAAAAATGGACTATTTATTATTGTACAACATGCAACGATGCATCCAATGATAATGAGAACATGTTTCGAATGATTAAACCATGTCTTTTAGAGACGACTAAGTGATAAATATCGATCCAAACAAACAAAAACACGAAGCCAGGCTGATGATTGACCAGAAAAATAATTAAGAAAAGAAAAAAACTTACAGAATGGTATGTTTAAAGTTTGAAGCAGAAATCCGTAAATAGTTGAAAAATAATAATCAATATTCCATGCGTATAACATAAGAATATCAAAGATAGCCATAGCTCTCATATAATAGAGTGTTGGTCTTGTTTGTGCTTGTCTCAATTTTGACCGACAAAGAACAATGAATGTGAGTGAGTTGAGTGTTGTTCCTACAACTGCAATAATTAAAGAAAAATAAGCCACAAATAATCGTTCAGTCGATGTGTTCGTATGCACAACAGCCAATTCAGTACTGTTTGATGCCATTATATTATTAATACAAGATAGTATGAAAACCTTTTACAAATTTAAGAATGAGAAATGGATGCTAAAATATAAACTCATTTTATATATCTTCCAGCTTGACAACATAAAATACAGATAATGACGCATGAATAACTTGTTTTCAATTCGATTATGAGCTGATTAATGAAGCAAAAATAAAATATTTCAAGAAAAATATGACAGGATGGTTTTCTTTCCAAGTGGAAATGACAACATATTGCAGTGGTTGAATTTACTTTCATTATATATTTACTGTGACATTACTTTGACATCCATTATTACTCGTCGTTCATGCTTTTCTTCTTCATGTTTGATGATTAATTTCAAAGAAGGTTTTTAGAAAGTACCCATACGATCCATGTAAAAAAAAAAACTTAACAAAAAATCAATCAATATCTGATTTTCATCGATTTCAAGGGTAATTAATCGATAAAAATCCAGAAATTTTGATTCTTTTGGATGCATAATTGACTTAGAATCAATGGTTTCTCATCGATTATCATCAATTTTTTTCATTGAAATCGAATAAAATCGATTATAACCAAAATGAATCTCAGAATAGTCTAAAATTCAATGAAACTGATTATAATCTAACTGCACTGATAAAGTTTTCAAATCGATTACACTCATTAACATAAAAATTGAGTAAAATCAACTATTATAGTAATGATTATAATCCACCACAATCGATTAGGTTCTTTATTTTCTAATAAAAGGAATGAATAAAAAATTACTCAGTGCAGAGCTGAACAAAATACTCGAAGTACTTATACTCGAGTACGGTTTTGATGGTACTCGTACTCGTACACGAGAGTTAAATACTCGAAATTCTAAATAATTATGCATTATATTAAAATGATGCTTGATAAAATTACAGTATCTTTTTCGAGAATGAAACATAATTACAACTGATATCTTCTTTTTTATTCTTTGTATACGTATCCAGATAAATATAAAGACGTCTTCCGGAGAGGGTGTGGGTGTAAATGTTTCTTTTCTTTCTTCACACCCACACCCTATATTCCATTTCAAAATTCGATTATTACCACTGTCAGCTATACATATTGTATCACCGTGAACAAATATTGCTCTTGAATTATTTAACTGCTTTAAACTAGATCCTAAAGTTGAAGTTCTTGCGACTGTTATTCCATCTGAAGTACCATTCTTCCAGAGTTGTATCCGGTGATTGAATGTCTCTGCTACATAGACATCTAAGCTTGTATCGACAAAGATACCTTCAAATGCTTGAAGTTGGTTCGATTCAGATCCCATACCGTTGCCTCCAGCGACTGTAGTAAGAGTTTTATCACTATTCGACCAAAGAATGACGCGATGATTACTTGTATCACATATATAAGTACTTTCTGCGAAAGCAACTAGACTGTAGGAACAGTCAATACGTCCACTTGGCACAACTATATTTGGATCACCTCCGTTTTTAGTTATGCGTTGAATAATATCTGTATTACTGCTTTCTTGCCAAAAAATAAATAGCTTGCTCTTCTTACGAGGGAAGGTCCCCAACTGTCCAATCGCTTTTGAGTTCGAACACTGTGCATAAGGTAAAACCCAATGAAATATGAAAAATCCCAAAAGGATAACGACCCTTAGGCCTTCTGCCCAGGGCTATAGAAATTTTACTGGAATTTTAGCCTATGGCATGATATTTACCAACAAATCGAATGACGATATTTCGGGTTGAGATTTTGCCCATAGACAGGTCTAGTTGTGAGTAGAATGCCCTGAAAATTTTAGCTCAAAAGAATGTTTCCTTCCCGAGATATTAAAGTCCCAAAAATGACTCATATCTCACGAAAACGTTGCTAGAATCTTCTGTTTTTTTGGACTTTAATATCTCGGGAAGGAAACATTCTTTTGAGCTGAAAGTTTCAGGGCATTCTATTCACAACTAGACCTGTCTATGGGCAAAATCTCAACCCGAAATATCGTCATTCGATTTGTTGGTAAATATCATGCCATAGGCTGAAATTTCAGTAAAATCCCTATAACTCTGGACAGAAGGCCTAAGGGCCGTTATCCTTTTGGGGTTTTTCATATCTCACTGGGATCTACCTTATACACAGGGTCCGAACTCAAAAGTGATTGGACAGTTGGGGACCTTCCCTCGTTAGTTCAATGAAAGACCATGCAATTTTTCCCCTGTCAAGAAAGGTTGTCCTTCGATAGAGTGTGCGACTAGGGATGTGCGGTTACAGTGCAAAAACCGTGAATACCGACACTGACGCCACCGAAGGACGGTCCACTGAGCACTGGTTTCTACCGTGGTGTTGTCACTGATACTGGTATGAACCTGACACCGAGATTACTGATACACTGTTGTTCACTGCAGCACCGACATTCCAGTGAACACTGATCACACTGAAACGGTGTTCAGTGGAACACTGATTCTTTCATAGAATATCGTCTTGTACCATTTTGTTTATAATTCTCAATGACAGATACAGAAATTAGCCCACAGACATTGTCTGTAAGTATCATCAAGCTGGATTATCTAATTTTTGAATAATTAAGCCAACTTTTCTTAATTGTTCCACTGTTAACTTTTTCCTCAATTCGTAAATAATGTTGCCAACTCAGATCATTCCTCATAGGTCTTTATTTTTTTAATTTTTGCATATTTTAGACTTATTTATTCACGAAGCCTTCGAGTGACATACAAATGCACTTATCAATAGAAAAATTCTAAAATTTGAAACTCATTTAATGCCTTCATCTTGAAACTGTAGCGAGAATTGGAAGCAGATGTTCACGTTTGAGCCAGATTGATATGTAAGTTTATAAATTTTTCTAGCAGTTAAATGGCACTCGAAAGTTGTGGGAAAAGATGGGATCTTCTTAAAACTCTTTTCGACTGTAAGGTGATGCTCATTCTAGTGTCTGTATAGGTTCTTGCGATTCATTTAATTAATGTGATGTTCTGCAATGATGCTATAGTTTTGATTTTTTAGTTCAACATGATGTTCAAAATGGATCTTTATGGGTGATTCTAGTATATTTCTCCGCATGTTTTTTTTAAGATGATTAATGTTTTATGGAATGACGATAAAAAAATTCTGAATACAGAAATAAAACTTTTATTGAAAATTTATATGTTTTTTCAAAATAAAGACGCGATGTTTTTAAAAAAACGAAGAAAAATAATAAATCTTCGGCAAATAATAATATAAATGGAAAGAAGAAGTAAACAATCTTGTACAAAATAAGGAACTCTGTAAAAGTAAGAGAAAAAATACATTCTTCTACAAAATTTCCAAAAAAATGTTTCCATGATAAAGTTAAATTGAAAAAATACCAAAAATCATATAGAATAAAGAGAACAATAAAACTCACTAACATGAAGACAAAAAATATGCAGTATAAGGCATGTACCTAATCCACACTTCACAGCGAGAACAACTTTAAAAAAAAGAAAAATAGTAAAAACACAAAATAAAAATAAATAGCTATGTGGAGTTCATAAAACTATTTTATCTTTAAGAAAAACACTTGAGGCTAGATTTTCTCCGCTTAAACGTGTGCGCTCCTTTCTACCTGAGAAAGCAGATACGGAAAAACAGCTCTCACTTGGAACGAAAGTAGCTGACAGACTTAACATTTTCTTAGCTAATTTCCCAAAATCAGAAAACTTTGTCCGTAAGTGTTCCAAAATACCAATGATGATGGTACATCTGGTTTGTGGTTCAAATTAAATTGTGTTGCATATTTTCGATAATTTAGGATATCATCACTAATTTTTTATTTTTTATTCGAATTACGTGGTTGTTCTTCATGTGTGAATTCACCAACTGATTCATTGAACACATCCATAGCACTTCTATTAGATTTTTCATGTAAGTTTAATTTTACTGATGTGTTCGCTGTGGTCGCACTACTATCTAATGTAGCAGTTACCGAATGTGTTAATTTACAAGTTTCATTAGCTAACAAACTTTTAATATTTTGCTCGATGAAACACTTTTCTGGATCACTTAATGCAAGAAAGCCAGCAGGATCAAAATATGCATCCAACTAAAAAAAATATAAAACACTGTTTTAAACAAGATTACAATAATTAAGATTTATTTTTATTAGCCTTGTGTACAAATCCAGCTGGTTATAGTGTTGGTGTAATTTGTCGAAACTGTATAAAATATTGCCCCCTCCCCCCATTTTTTTTGCAATATGCATTATCATAGGACAGAACAAAAAAATATGGTTTTCTTCCTATTGAACAAAAATAGCTTTTTCATTACTTAGTTTATGATCAATTCCTGAGTGTTAGTATCAAGAAAATATTAAAACATTGACCACTATACAAATGCAATTCCATTTTTTTTGAAATATCAAAAATTATATTAAAAAGTTTTTAAAAAAATTCTCAGCTAGTTTCTATCATTCAGAGTGTTTGTTGGAACAGTTTAACAATCTTTTCGTATTAATCAAATACGATATTAGAAAAAAGTCGCGGATAATCAGCGAGATGCTTCCTAAATAACCTCTGCAAAAATGAGCAAGAATATTGTGTCACAATTACTCACTTTTAATAATTGCATTTGCTGGTGATCAGTTTCAAAATAAAAAATGAGAATTTCACCAATAATAACTCCTTTAACCGCTTTATTATTAAACTTTGTTTTTTTGGTTTTGTTGAAGAAAATGTTTTAAGCACCTGAGTAAATAATAAGCAATTCCGATTGACGGATATTGAGAACTAGACATGACTTTCGTTGCATGAAAAAATGGCTTAAGAACAAAATGCAAATCAGATAACATATTCCATTGGTGTGCTGGAAAAATGTCGAAAGGAAAAATGTCGAAAAAAGAAAAAGCGAAGAAAAAACATCGAAAGGAAAAATGTCGAAAGGAAAAATATCGAAAGGAAAAATGTCGAAACGTACATATTAAAGCGGAAAAATGTCGAAAGTGAAAAATAAAAAAATAATGATGTCTCCAGTATATGGCGATTCTAATCCCATTTAGTTCATTGTTTTTTCTTATAATTTTACTAGTGTAGAATTTTAGCCAGTATTGATAGGGATGACTAACTATCAATACAGGTAAAATGAAAGAGTTGAACAAAGAATTATTATATAACTAAAATTGTGCTGTCATGGCTGAAGCTTTCGTAACTTTAACTGGTGAAATTCAAGCAAAATCTCCTGCTATTTCATTTATAAATTCAAATAAAGGAAAACCTCTACTAGTTGTCGACGATTATACTTTTAAATTGAATAAAGCAACAACAACGACTAAGTATTGGATATGCACTATTAATGGTTGTGCAGCTAAAGTGCATACTGATTCAAATAATCGATTGATGAAAACTGTTGGCAATCATAGTCATCTTCCAGAAAAAGAAAAACTTGAGGTTCGTGAAGTTCGTGAAAAAATAACATTTTTATTTTTTAATGTTTTTCTCACTGTTAAGATTTCAACTTAATTTTATGCAATAAAACATGCACTATATTATTTACAATTCTCTAAAATATTAACCGACAATGTTTCATGTCAATATTATTTTTTCGACATTTTTCCTTTCGATATTTTTCCTCTTCCTTCTTTCGACATTTTTTCTTTCGACATTATGACGGCCAACCATTCCATTCATCATTTGTCAATTCATAACGAGTTAAATTCATACGTTGTTTTGGTTTTAAATGTAGATGATGTTTATAATCAAATAATTTTTCAATAACTTCACGAAGAAATAATAGTGAGTCAATCATATTATACACACTATTCCAACGAGACTTCACGTCATGACATAAATTTCGTTTAATTTTTAGTTTTTTCCGTTCATTATCAAAAAATAATGTAATAATCGTGAAATGTTTAACTGTTGAGATTAAACCACGACATTTTTTCAAAAGATAAATAATCATTTCTTGATCAGGAATGGTATCAACATCTGACTGATTAACATCTTCTGTCCAATTATCAATTATTTCTTCATTAATAGTATCGAATAACAATTCTTCTTCATCATTCCAATAAACTCCTTCCAACGGTTCATTATCAGCGAATTCCAAATCATTAGTAATATCCACATCCATATCATTATCGTCTTGAAAATCTTCAAAGTTTGTGGTGTCTGCTTCTTGATCATTCATTTCATTGAACGAATCTGGAGAAAGAAAGACGGTATAAGTTTAATAATGGAAAATAATGTTTCTTCATCAAAAATCTAGTCAAGATTTTTTTCAAAGAGAATTAAAAACCTTACGTTCTGAAGTATTTTTCTCTTAGTAATACATTGAGAACTATACGAAAACGTTTTTATTGATTGGAAATACACTCGTATTTCTCAATAAATTTTTTAGAACTTGCTAACTTCAGAAGAAAACTAGAATTTTAATTGCTTTGAAGAAGCTATCATCTAATAATTGATATTATTCAAAAAAGACCTTAGTTTAATCATCTAGATGTTTAGTTTCCTCAACAAACACTATTTATGCTATCTGATTATTAGGAAATGAATGATACACAAAATACAAAAATTACCTATTTCTTCAATCATTCCATTTTCTTCATCAACTTCGTTTTTCAAAACCCAGAAACTAAGAGCATTTGTTATAGTAAGATGAAGTCTATGTGTGACACACCATATACGCTTCACGTTGAGACCCGTACTGTCAATGGCACATACCATATTTTTGTCACCATCACATGTTACATAGCTCAGTTTTTGTAAAACATCGAGTTCCTTTAATTTTGCTTCCAATATGCGAGAATTTTCAATGGATGTATGTCGTTTATCAAATGTTGAAAAATTTAAAATTGTAGATCGTAGACCGTAACTATTCGGATAAAAATAGTGATCTGTTATCACCAAAAAGCATCGCATCTGTTTATTCGACCAAAGATCCATTGTTATTGAAATGTCATTTACATTTTGTAAATCATTAATTAATTTTTTATGATGAAACGTGTGAAGACGTTTGAGCTGACGAGTCATTGTGTAATCTAGTTGGTGGATTATATCCTAAAAAAACAAAAGATTGCAATCTTCATACGATTAGTTTATTGGTTGACTTTCAATTAAAATAGTGATAAATAGAATGTCATCTTTCATAAGAATAAAAAATATTCTCATCTGTAGTTCTTAGATGATTTTTCTCTAAATCTCATGAAAATTAGTGGTTTTCGAAAGTGTTTGTAGGTAGTATGTTAAAGAGAGAGCGATCTCAGATGTTACAGCTGTAAAAGCTGGGAATGATCTATGGTGTCATGTACAATAACTTAATTCTTTAGCAACATCAGTGTATCTATCCTTTCAATTTACTACATATGTAAAAAAAATCACTTGTTCGTATTCGTATATATTTTACTGACCAGTTGAACATACTTTAAGAACTCGTTTAAATGACACTACCTAGCACAATTTCATGTAAAAGTCTTTTCATTCCAAGTTTTTGAAGATCATTGAATGTTCGTGAATCACGTATGATACAATTAATTGATAAGTCATTTAATTATTGTTTTTGAGCTGGATTAATTAAATTTTTACTTTTCTGCTTATCAGCTGGTAAAATTAATTCTTTTATATTGTGCTTCAATATCAAATATCGACGTAAAGTTGATGTTGATCCATTATTTTATGATATCCTTTTATAATCTTTACATAAACAATATGTTGCATAATTTGAATTAATATCACGAATTGCATATTGCCAAATATCAGATGAACGTGAAACCTTTTCTTCTAGCTTTCATCGGATAAACTATTCGCACCTGGTTCTAAAGCAAATTATTGCTTTGTGACACTTACAAAAATTTCTTTTTACTTTTTTTAGAAATCATTTTATAGTTATACTGCTCGTGAGCTTGAAGTAATTTGACATTTAAATAATTTCCACGTGTTATTGGGATACCTGATAATAAGGCTTTTTGATTTTCTTCATCACCAGCAGCATCATTTGATTTATCTTTGCTGTTGCCATGTTCAACGACCTCCAAAGTTGAACCAGAAACCATATTATTTATATATTGTTTTTAATGAAAGTCAAATAATTCAAAATCGTTTATTCAAAAACTTGATGAATATTGTTACAATGCAATCCAATTCAAGTAAATAAAGTAACACTAAATGTATAAGTATCATTGAAAAATTTAAAGTATAAAAAATTGGATGGATATACTTACAATCTTTTTAAAATTCAAATAGTTTAGATCTGATAAGCAAATAGATGAATTTTGAAGATATTATCTGACAATATGAAATCAAATATCTACAAAAAAAGATATTTTGCTAATAAAAAATGAATTAAGTCTTCAAATAAATCTTTTCAAAGACTATTTATCTTTATAAACAAAAGATTAGTATATTTTATCAAGGTGAACATACATGTTGTTCAATGTTTTCGTTTTTGTAAAATACATCTTGCCATTCAACGTAGATAGATCTGTTGGACTATATAAGTTATGTGAGACTTCTCTCTGCGTACGCGAATATATAAATGCAAAGATAACAAAATTAGAAGTTTGAAAATGCAAAACACTTATATCAGACGAAGCAAGATGGAAAAAGAATGGTGTATCTTGTTTTTTCTCTTTTCCAACTGTTTTATATAAATATCGGACGAGAAAATTCAAGCACAAGCGACAACGAATCGCCCCCTTTCTTTTCTTTTATCTAACTGCGTAATATGATGTATCGAACGGGAAGATCAAATAAGAAAGAAAGAATTGATCCTTATATTTTTCTTATTCGAGTGCACAATATGAACTATCGAACGAAAAGATACAGAAGGTAATGTTGAAGATCATTGATTTCATTCTTTCATTGTGACCATTAAAGTTGAACTCGAATAATGCATCAGGTGACGATTGCAAGAGTGGGCGTTAAAGAATACAATGGAAAAAAAGATAGAAAACGCTTCAAAAAATACGAGGTTATAATATATATAAAGAAGATAGATTAAGAATAATTCCTTCATTTGTTAACAGAATATAAACTTGAATAAAATCAGTCATCGAAAAAGAAAAGGCATTAAGCGAATATGTTGCTATTCAATCAAAACTTTTAGTGAGTTCTTCTCTCAATAACGGAAGATGTTATAATATTAAAGGCACAGACAAATGTCATCGAAAAAGAACATTAGTGTTTCAGTGTTCCACTGAACACCGTTTCCGTGAGATCAATGGTCACTGAAATGTCAGTGCTGCAGTGAACGACAGTGTAGCAGTGACAACACCGCGGTGTAATCCAGTGCTCAGTGGACCGTCCTTCAGTGACGTCAGTTATCAGTAAACCGAAAATATACATCCCTAAATAGCTCTATAATTTACATAAAATCGCTTTAGTTTCACTTACAATTTTTGCCACTGAAATAAACAAAATTTAGTGCAATCAAATTTCAATCCTACGAAAATTGATTGCAACGAATTTTCATTTTTTTGAGAACGATTAAAATACGGTTTAGTGTGTAAATTGTAGAAATTTTCAAGTTACAAAGTTTCTACGATAACCGGTGTGAGAGAAACGATCTATAACGACATAAGTTTTCCATTTTTACTCATATTAGAAGGAGTATCTACATGTTGAATTATTTTTATACACTCAATACTCAAGACCATTGTGATCTGGCACATACAGAGAAGAGCTAAATTAGGTAGATGACAGTTTGATTCAAAATCATTTAAACTGCATTACGGCGTGGCCACGCGTGATGGAATTTCATTTTTTCAGATTGCAACCTGTATAACTGCTTAGTAATATAAGCGAACTGTCTGAAATTATTATCATAAATACAGCTCACTTAGATCTATTATCAGTAAAAATTTCACAAATTTCTCTTCAACCGCAGCAGAGTTATTCAAAAAATAGTGACCGTTACGGAATTTCTAAAAATGGAAATTATTTTTAGGGAGGCTACAAGTTAAGCATTTTTATACGAAAGAACGAAGTGTTCGAATGAAGGTTATATTCAAAAGTTGTTCAGCTTTTAACAAGCTATTAGAATATCAAGTCATTTCTGATTCGTCTTAGCTTCATCAAATAAAAAACTTGAAATATCGCTCGTTACGGAATTTCACTTTGTTACGGAATTTCATCTTTTTTTGTAGTTCTACAGGGGAAGATTTCAGACATTGCCATTTCAACCTGTTACGATAAAACTGATCTTTTTTCTGATACATGAGTAGTACACAGATAATTTTATCTTTCCAGTATGTTAGTTTTATTCTCGCAATGAAATCTCATAAGAATTTCTATCTAGTTTTCAGACAAAAATGCAATGTGAAAAAGTGACAAATTACGCTTTTTTGATGAAATTAGTCAATAAATCTCTTTTTCAACACCTGTCGAACCAAAAAGTGAAGTTTATATCACTCCTCTTATAGCTTGCAACAGGTTTGGTCATCTGTTGATAGCATATTTCCGACTGTCGAGACATTATTCCTCACTTTTGTGATCTTGAACCTTCCCCACACGAGGGTGACCGATGCGTGGCCATGCCGATATGGAAATTGTAATTAGACAGGCTTTCATAAAAATTTCAGAATCTTTTATCAAAGTCTCTGCGATATATGAAACTTCCAGGATAAAGTTGTCTTTGATAGATCGTGTATAGAACACATTTTTTTGGGAAAGCTTTATATCTCAAAGAGACTTTAGTAGAAGCTGCTGAAATTTTTATGAAAGCTTGTCTAATTGCGGCCTCGATACATAAAAGTTTCAAATGAAAATTCAAAAATTTATTTTTTTCAAAAACTGATAGTGCTATAGGATCTCCTGAAAAGAGATACATGAAAACTTCGATAGCTTCTTCAAATCTCAATAGAAACTGAACTATTTTACAGTTTTATTAGAGTACTATGTAACGTTTACAGGCATAAGAAATCATGTAATTGAAAGCAGCTTCTGAGATGGTTTTTGTATGAGTATATGAGAACAAGAAATATCCAAAACTAAAAGACTTAGTTACCTGAAAAGAGTGGAGTGTGGATGTGGATGAAGAAAGGAAATAGACATCCTCACCCACACCCACACTCACATCCACCCACATCCACACCCACACCCAATTTAACTTTTCAACAGAACCCAATGATGTAGCTTTTGAAATCAGATGACTAATACATGTACTGCAAATAAAAATATTATACTATGAGGATTGAGATGTTGAGTTGGTTAGCAGAGTGGATATGAGTGTTGGTATCAGTAATGTGAACATTAGTGTACGATGTAGTTGTGAGTGTGGTGGCGAGCGTTGGCATGGATGTTGGGTGTTAGTGACAATATGGGTGATGCGGGTATTAATGCAATGGTATGGCGGTTACTGTGCATGTGAGTGTGGATGCTGCAGTGAGAGTGAGGTTGCGGGTGGGGATACGGGTGCGAATGGCTTAGCTGTCGGTGGATTTTGCTGAGGATATGGAGTCTGAGTATATACCTATCCGTAGGATGTGAATGCGGGTCGATCTAGTGAAGATTAACACCCATATCCACCTCTCAACTATACACACAGATGCATTCAAGCACACACCCCAATAATTACTCATTTATATGCTTATTTATTAAGATCTATTTCCTGCATACAAAATACTGATCTATCTTTTTTAACGTTGAAATTGTTTTCTCGCAATAAGGTAATTATTATTACTTATTCATTAGCTGCTATAGTGAGCATGTTATCGTCATGTCTTAATCCCTATAGAGTACTAACTCGCCGACCTTGCAAATTATTCTGTTAGGATTGACGTGAGCCTATTATACAGATACAATAGATAATTGTGAGTGTGGATGTCTGTGTTTTTTCTTCATCCACACTCACACCCACGATTCTTAACTCCAAAACACCAGAAGCTTCACAAAAATGTTGAACCCAAATTTAGAAAGAACCCAAAATTCTGACTCTATCCCGACATTTTCAAACTTCTACACAATCCTTTAAGAGACTAAAAAGTGACTCAACATTTTATCAAATTACTTTTCGATTACCGATTAGTACATTGTAATAAAAGACTTTCTCACAAACGAAAACAAAGCATATGTACAAAAATTGAATTTATTAAACATAGAATATGGCCGATCAATTTAAATTGATGTCTTCAACTATTGATGAATATAGAACAAGTAGTTTAACTTTAATTAATACTACTCGACTATATATATAATTACTCAACTTATACAAAATTAAATTACTTCGAGTATTTTTTTTAATTTGGACAAATCATGGGAGGAATACACCTAATACATTCTTGCTACAACTGATAAAATTCAATTAAATCCAAAAGATTTACGTGAATTTCATCGTCTAGCTAATAATCTAAAGAATTAAAAAGTTTTAATAATGAATTAGAAAAATATTATGAACAAATCGAATTATTAAATAAAAAACGGCTAACTTTTATTACAAAGTTCAACAATAAATTTAAATGAGGATAATGATAATAAAAGAGAATGTTTATTGAAAACAATTAATTGTAGTTATGATAGTTTAACTATTAATACTAAACTTCATCTAGAACATATTGAGAATATTCAACAATTCATACAGTTAATAACAAAAGAAAAGTAAGTGAAAGGATGTGGGTGTGGGTGTGGGTTCTTTTTACAGTGTAATTGTGCAGTTTCTCATTAACATTATTATAATGTTTTTAATTTCGATTTTTAATTGAACCTAATCACAGTTACAGACATAGAAGCTGTTCTATGCGATTTCATACTTTTTCACTCATATTTATGAGATATAGAGAGAAGCTCTAGATTAGAATAATCTTTCAAAATATTCTGGTCTATAAGCTTGCTTTATAGGATTATGATAGTTGCATTGGATTTTTGCCAAACGATTGGATATTGAAAGTATAACTGAATAAAGAATTTTCTCACCTAAAATTTGTTTTATAAGTAGGTCTCGTGGTCCTATGAATATCTGAATAGTGACTTATTCGTAAATGAAACTTGAGGTCGAGAATTCTTCGTTCCGTGGTTCTTTCAAAATTCGATCCTTCGATTGAAATCAACGGAACGCTTG